CGAGGGTGCTCTCTCGCCCCACTGGCTAGATCTGCCCCTATGGGCGAGGACTTCCTGGCCAGCAACAAGTTCACGCTGGCTGACCTATCGCACTTGCGGACCCATGATCGGCGCGCCTTATCGAGTCGTGCAGGAACATCAGGAAGTGCCGAAGTGGTGGGATGCCATCTCCCACCTCGATTCCTGGAACATGGACCAGGAGCTGCAGCGTCTGCCATCCCAGAGGCGTTCTGATCTTGATAGCAAGCGCCAAGTGGTGGCCACTGGCCATTGTCAAGCATATGTGTTTCTGCTGTTGGCAGTTTCTGCATATTTCCATTGCTTTGAATGAGAATATAAATGCCCGCCTAGCCCTGCGTCAACGGCTGGGCGTCTGGACGCCCACGCAATCTGACCCCATCCGCCTTTGCCCTGACCTGTCCGCCTTCGTCCCGCCCCACGCGCTCACTTTGCCCCGTCTCTGTGCCCGCCGATCGCCCCTGACCCCTTCCTCTCCCTCTCTCCATGGGGGCGACACTCAGAAGCCGGGATGAGTAGCTGAGGACGGCATGCCCCGACCGTAGCACCACCATCCGCCGCCCCCCAACGCCCCATTCATTCGCTGCCCCAGCAAGCGTTGCGTGCCAGTCTACTACTCGCACTGGCGAACAACATAAAACACTTGCAAACATGAAAACATTTGAATGCAACATATGTATAAAAATAGATGAAACATTTAGAATATGCACTTGCAAAATATATGTAAAACACATGAAACATCCAATTTGTAATTTGCAATGTGAAACCACTTGCTGCAACATAAGATTGAAACAACTGAAACATTTGGAACATATTGTTGCAACATATGTGTGAAACATATGCAACATCTAGATAAAAAAATGATTGCAACATACGTCTAGAAATAGATGAAACATTTTGAACAAACACTTACAACATGCTTCTGAAACACTTGCAACATCCCCCGATCTACTTTTGCAATATCAAGATGAAACAACTGCAACATATAAATAAAACATCTGAAACACTAGAAACGTAGATATACAACGTAGGGGAGGGGAATGTCGTGACAGCAACTGAGAAATCAGGCTTCGAACAGCACCATGGCAAGCGCCGTGGGTCTACGACGAGATCCAGCAGCTGAAACATGCCCGATGACTCGCGGGAGTAGTAGACAGGTACCTCTGCGGAGCTGCCCCGGACCTCGCGGAGCACGACCTTGTCGAGGTCGTTGATGCCCTTGCAGTGCCTGATGGGCGCCGCCTCCTGCTTCTCCTCGCCCGCCGGCGGCGACGACACCGGGGCCGGCATGTTGTCCTTCCGCGGGACCGAGCCGCAGCGAGCACCGCATGCCGAGGCCGAGCAGAACGGAGCAGTGGAGCTAGAGGGAGGGAGAGGAAGAGGAAGTGGAGAGAGGCAGGCAGGCAGATGGACTGGCTCGAGGTTGATTTGGGGGATTTCCGGACAACGCCCCTTTGCGTGCGTGCTGTTTTCTGAGAGAGAGGGGATGAGGGGATGAGGATGAGCCGCATCCAAACGGGACAGACGTCCCGATTGTTCATCGTGTAATAAATGGTTCAAGAGCGTATGCTGCTCCGTTGCCTTATAAGCTTCCCTGTTGAGCTTATGCTCGAGTTCACTTCAGGCATGTATCAAATCGCCGGAGAACAAAAATATTAAATATTAATCTCTACACTCTCTATCATCAATTCTTCATCTCGAGGTATGCCTTCACTTTTAACAATCTATGTTGCATATGTGTATATGTTCTCCACTAATACCTGGATCAAGATGTTCTCAGAAATAATGGTATTGCTCTTCACTAATACCTGGATCAAGATGGTCATCAAACAGCATAATAAGGTTGTGTTCAATAAAAATATTGCGCACTTTCTTTATGATGTCTTCTCCTTTACTTTTTCCATGGCAAATTTAGACATTACCAATTCATTTGGTTGATTGCCCTTGAGGCAAAGTACTGAATCATGAGCCTTTCAGCTTTGCTCAATTGCAACATTATCTTGGAGAAATATGGTTCAGACGGTTGTAACATTGGACATCATGGTGTGGTTGCACCAAATATTTCGAAGCAAGTAAGAAACTACATAGATTTTCTTGTTTCCCCTTTTGGGGCCTCATATGCATTTAAATATGCCATATCTTTATTTGCATCATCGATGTTCAGTAAATCTGAAGGTCTGAAGGTCTGTATCTTGTCATATCTGCAATAGAGAGTGGGCTGGATATGATAGAACAATAAAACTGTGTAGGTAAAAGTGGAAAATAAGTGGTATTTTTTTGTGTAGACTATACCTCTGAATCAAAATATCAAATAGGCTAAGAAATTTGGTGAGAGGATGTAATCACTCTGCTGCACTGGCTATATCTGATAGAAGTGTTCGTCGCTTGCAGTATGGTATTCAAATCCATATGATGCTTGGTCTCAATGTTTTTATACTGTAAACTGATTTAATATTGCCAGTGATCATGCTCATGCAACCAGAACCACGTAGCAGAAATCTTAAAATGATGTTGCTATATACTCGCGTCCAGATGATCAATCTTGAACATGAGAAATAGTGATCTTGAACAATAGTTAATTATATATATAGTGAATGCTTTCGATTGTTCTGTATTTACTACATCAATGGTTTAACTCATGGCTATGTTGTCCAACTGTCACGCTCTTGGCAAGCGAGCCGCTATCAGATAGGGTGTGCAGGGAAATTTGGGAGAACAAGAGCAGAGTGCGAGAGGAAGAACAGGAAGAAGACCATAGAATTGGAGGATAATTCATTCAGTTCAGTTCATAGTCCACCAACCGCTATTACATCGGTGGGTTATATACTATACCACACCGCTTCATACCTCCAAGCCCAACTAGTTAGAGGCCCACACATACATCACGCCGGCCCACGCCATACTCCTGCCTAGGCTAGCCACCCATGACAGATTGACTCCACCAACGATCCAGAGCCCAGCAGCATTCCAGAAAAACATCAGAACGCGCCAGAAAATCCCCAAATCTCATTCAGTCTCTTGCCTTAAGAAGTACCATATGCTCAGGCGTCCCAATATATATCAGGTTTGCAACTTGTACCGCTGACAAAAAATTTTAACCCCATGTTCACCTGACTTCAGTATTCTCACTGCTTTCCTGTTCTAGCAAAACCTTGATACACTTTTGGCAACACCGTGTACACTGTTCAAGTTATTTAAGGAATCTTTTAGCCATGGACGATGGTGCATTTACAGCCATGTCAATCCTCGACGACTGCGTCAAATGCTTTGCTTATGATGACTGTCATTTCCGGTCAGATTGTCATGGTTATAGGACTCTACTTGGACCAAATCTCTATGTAAGGCTGTAGCTCCACACCATCCTTTCCCATATTGGGCAGGAGCGTAGCCTCGCTGATTTTACTGCCTTCAACCTTTTTTCCTAGCTCGCTCTTAACCCTGAGGTTCTGGTGTGGATGCAGATCCTGCAAGCATGCAGCAGATCAGAGCGCATCAACGGTCGAATAAGTTAATGGCGGCCTGGCGGTGGGCCCTGTCGATCATCAGCCTCCGGCGATGCGCATATGCTGGATGACGATGAAGATCCCAGCAGGACCAGGAATGGAAGAATCCAACTGCCAACGACAGGAAAGGAGTCTTCATTCAGGACCATGCATGTATGAACGCGCGGATCCCCTCTCTCCTTGCTCTCATCACCTGCTGGCTCGCTCATGGAGTAGGAGTATTTATCACCGGCCGGAGCTGGCGATATATATGGGGCCGGGAGTTAAACTGGGAGGCCAGCCTCGGACAGGTCTGTCAGGCCATTACTGTTTTCCGGGCACCACTTTGCATTGGCAGGTCCGAATGTGCAGCTACTGCTGTGCTACTGATCTTCCTGCACCATTGGATTTGGCGACAGTAATATAGTACCGTAGCACAAATTTATTAAGCCCAGGTCTAGCTAGTTACGACGGCTACATCACATCCCGAGAGAGGGAGAGAGACGCTGCTGCTAGTGTGTACGGCTGTTACTGGATTACGGATCGAGAGTCTACCTAGGTTTGACGGATGAACTGCACTTTGCCACGCATTAAGAGACGAGATTTCGCTGATTGCGGCAGCCTATCACATTCATAGCAGAGAGCTTGGCTAAGCTAAGCCTAGATAGCCTCACTTGCGCTTGCGCTGCCTGCCGGTACACACGGGTACAGGTACACGTACGTGGCTGCTGGCTGGCTGGGCTGGTAGCTCGCGACGCGAGCTCTACGTGGGATAGATGGGATTCCCGTGACCCTGAACCCGCCTGCCCTCCTAACACACACCACACCACCATCGGTCTGTCTCCGTCACAGGCGCGGCTAGCTAGCCATTGGAGGCTTGGAGCCTCGATCGCTCGCTCACCGAGCTGGAGCGGCTTACCCCATCGACGCGCCTACAGCTCACACATCCACAGGAAACGGCGCTTGCTACAGCTGCGTACCATCGCCGTTGCACCCATGCATCTTTTCATGGATAGATCGGATCAGAGAACCAACTTATTCATGCTGCATGCTGCTGCTGCAGTGTATATATGCAAGCAAGAAGAATATATGCAGTGTTATTTCCAAGCAACCACGGCTAATCCATCAAATTTTTTAGGAGTCTTACGTGGAGCACAATGAAAAGTAATCAAAAGACATGAGGTAGTATATGCATGACAGCTGATTAATATGCATGGATAGACAAAGTGAATGAAAAAGAACAGGAATGAAGTAAAGAGAAAAAGAAAAGAAAAAGACCAGCTACACCATGACAAACATATAGATCTATGGCCGATCAGAATGTTTTCGACAAATATAATATAATATACCCACACAATGATTAGCAAATACAATATGTAGTTAGAGATGGACAGCTAGTTAATTAAGTAGTAATATATATCCCCGTTGCTATCTCAATTCCTTCGGAATCAGCCCTTCTTCCAAACTGGAGCCTCTTCCTGTTGGTGCGGTGCGCCATCATCAAGGCAGCATCGCGAACGTCGACATGTCGCCCCACGACGGGATCGCGCTCCCCGGCCCGCAGTTGTTGTTGTTCGACGTGGCGTTGTCGTCGTCGCCGCCGCTGCTGTTGACGACGTTGCAGTTGCTGGTGGCTACGGCCGCCGCGGCTGTGTTAGCGTGATGCGCGGTCGGGGAAGGGAGCGCGTAGCAGGAGCTGTCCATGAACCACGACGTCGCAGGCGGCGGCGGCATGGTGGCCTCCACCATGCCGGGCGGTGGTGGTCCCGCCGCCATGTGCAAGAAGGCGCCGCCCATGTGCGCTGCTGCTGCTGCTCCTGCCGCCGCGCCGCCGGAGCTCGTCGTCGGCGTGCTCAGGAACATGGTGGCCAGCCGCTGCTGCTGCAGCTTCCAGTGCAGGTCCTGGTTGATGAAGCTCAGCGACTCGATGGACGACGCGATGCTGCTGCTCATGCTCACCGCCGCGCCACCGTTCACCGCGTTGCAGGCTCCGCCGCCGCCGCCTGAAGAAACGTCCCCTGACGACGGCCACTCTCCGAACGGCACGTACTGGCCGACGACGGCGGGGGCGTGGAGCCGCGGCAGGGCGGCCATCATGCCGACTGCGGCGCCCGGCTGCTGGTGGTAGTCGGCCGCGGGGCCGCCGCCGCCAATCGGCGACGACGCCACGGCCGGATGAGCGGGGCCAAGGAAGCCCAGCCTCGCCGCCGCCTGCTGGTCGGCGGCACCGGCGGCCTCCGGCGGCAGGTTGAGCGAGAGGCGCGAGGCGGCCGAGAGGCGTGAGCGCTTGTTCTTGCGGCACCCCCCGCCGACGGGCACGTTGCGGAGCGCGCCGCCCTTGGTCCAGTACCTGCGGCACGTCTTGCAGAAGTGGCGCGGCTGCGACAGGCTGTAGTTGTTGTAGTAGCAGAACTTGGTGTTGGGGGAGTCGCAGCGCGGGCACCGCAGCCCTTGCTCGGGCGGCGGGGGAGGCGGCGGCTGCTGCTGCTGGCCCTGCTGCGTCTGTGTCTGCGTGGTAGGAGGAGGCGGCGCCGTGCCCCCGCCGCCTGCTGCTGCTGCACCGCCGGTGCCGCCCTTCCGTGTCCCGACCGCGTCGTCCCCCGTCGCCGACGCCATGTATACTACGTACCCGATACCTCGCAACAAGCAGAAGCTACAGGCAAGCGGGCGGCGGTCGAGAGAGCTCTGCCGCTGTCGTCACCGTGGCCCTTGCAGCAGCTCGATCGGGCGTCGTCCTAGCTAGCTAGCTAGCTAGGCTATGGTACGTGACGAGCAGGCGGCTAGGTATCAGGTGATTAGGTGGGCACGCTCGCGTATATAAGGAAGGATTGGATATGTGCCATTGCAATGCAACGGTGGAGGAGGGTTTCCTGGCTCGGAGGGAAGACGCCGGGGGGTTCCTATTGAATGGCGTCTCATGTGTGTGTGGGCATCCCATCGCATCGCCTCGCTTGCATGCATGGGATTAATGAGAGCGTCAAAAGCGACATCCGCGGATTGGCGCCTGTGATTGCAATCAAGTAGCTTGCTAGCGCAGCGCTGCGAGCTCATTGATAGTTATTTCTAGAACCTCCAGGCGCAGATCTGTGTGTAAATTGCTTAACTTAGATAGAAGACTTGGTGATGTACCTCATCTCGAGTCTTCAGTCATAACCATGGCACCGGCGACGAAGTAGCAGCAGTGCAGACCCGGTTTGTGGCGGCGGCGAAGGCGATGGCGCTTCCCGTCGCTTACAGCGTGCCCTTATAGATCGGACTAGGGTTAGGACATGGTGGGGCGCTGACGGCTACGGTGAACCTCGTGACTCGAGCCCCATCTCCAATTTATTGCGCTGCGCGATCGGGAGCCCATCAGCCATAAGAACGGCTGGGCGCCCCCGATCAGGGCGCGAATCAAGGACCCAATTGGCCGTTGGGACAAATTAGTGGAGATCAACATAACATTCTCCCCCTTGATCTCACCTTATGACTTAAACTTAACTTACTTTATCTTTTTCCATTCCATCGCAGATCAGTGCATAGAGCATGCCTCATCGTCAGGGTCAGTTGTCATTAGATTAAACAACTACAATGCACCTCTCTGTTTTAAAACAGATTCTCAACTAGGCCCTTAGTATCTAGAAATTATAGGCTTTTCCCGTAAACCCATGTCGACTGTGTGTTCTCTAAACGCACTGGGTGGTTAGCCCTTGGTAAGCGGATCCGTAAATACTTGTTTGGTACTCATATGCTCAATGCTTTCAAAATGATTCTGGATTTTCTCCTTTATAACATATAACTCCATGTTAATGTGTTTGGCAGCACACTTGACATGTTGTCTTAGGAGTTAACTACTTTAAATGGTTATTGCTGTTGACTACCTTTGTTAAATCTGGATACTAATTCCCTTAACCTTCTTTTGCCTCTTCCTTAAGCCTCATGTCAAGCTATACTATGGTATGCATCACTGATGACACCACAACTGTTTCTTTGGAGCTTTTCCACAATAATACTCTAACTACGAGTGTTAGCAACTACTGTGGATTTCACTACACATCTCGCCAAGACTTAACATTTGTACCCTCAACTATTTGAGATTACTTGTTCTTTCTTACTCAACATAAGGCCTATGATACTTTGCAAAATTATAAGACATTCTCAACTCCATTCCAGTGATCTATATCTGGACTGGACTTCTGCCAAAATATCCCGAATACGTAAACTACGTCAGGATAAGTTCTTACTTGTACTTGTACACTATCAAGCTTTCAACAGCTGAAGCATATGGAACCATATTCATTTGATCGATCTCATATCGGTTCCTATAACACTTAAAGTTTCCAAATCTATTACCTTTGACTATAAGAGCAGGCGTAGGTTTACTCGCATGCATACTTTATTTCTTTAGAATCTTTTCTAAGTATGTCTTTGCGATAGTCCTAATACCTCATTTTATTCTATCTCGGTGAATTTTGATTCCTAAAACCAATGACGCTTCACCAAGATCATTCACATTGAAATTTGAGAACAAAAACTTCTTCTTTTCCAATGATAGATTAACATCACTACTAGTGAGTAGAATGTCATCTATTCACAGGATGTGAAAAATGAATTTTCCATTCTTGAACTTTATATAAACACTATTGTCCTTCTTATTTTCTTTAAAACCCAAACTTTCTCATTGTTTCATCAACTTCAAATACTACTATCTTGTGACTTGTTTTAACCCATAAATGGATTTCTACATGTGGCATCCCATATGTTCTTTTTCTTCCACAACAAAACCTTTGGGTTGTGCCATGTAAATGTTTTCATACAAATCCCCGTAGAGGAATGCCGTCTTAACATCCATCTGATGTAATTCTAAATCGTAATATGTCAATAACACCATTATGATTCTAAAAGAATTCTTGCATGAAACTGGAGAGAAAACTCTCATTGTAATCTATTCATTCTCTTTGTGTAAAGCCTTTTGATACAAGTCATGCTTTATATCTTTCTACATTCCCTTTGAAGTCATATTTTGTCTTATAGACCCTTTCACAGCCTATTATTCTGGCTCCATTAGGAATTTCTTCTAAGTCCCAAACATCATTGGTATTCATCGAATTTATTTCAACTTTCATAGCTTCTTGCCATTCAAATGAGTAAACGTTTCTCATGACTTCTTCAAATGAGGTGGGATCACCCTCCATTTAAATTTCTTCACTAATATAGACTTCATAGTCATCAGAAAACTGGTTTACTAATTCTTTGAAACCTTCTGGAGCCTCAGCTACTGGCACTTTCATATGGGGCTGTTGTTGCTCTTCATTGCGAAGAGGCAATTGATTCTACATGCTCATGTATAACAAGATCTTTGTTTACATTATTCATCTTCTTTGAAGAGCTAACAATAGGTGTTGTATTAGTCATACAACATCAACAGGTATTGAGAAACTTGTTGCTCCTGAGTTACTAGAGTGGGCACGCAGTCCCTCTTCTCTTCAAGTCTTAGGTCTCTACATACCTCTACATACCATGCTCCCCCATATATTCCCATCTTTTTTAAAGATAGTGTATCTTCAAATATCTTATTTTGGGTTTAATCTGTTAAAACCTCATATGGCGCTTTAAGCACCACCTCAACATCTTTGAGGCTGACTATGCTATCTTCTGGTTGGAACTTTAAAAAGTCCAAGAATTTAGCTATTTCTCTGCTTAGGGATATTATTGTTGTGACCACTGTACTCCTCCGACGGTCATATTCATCTTCATTAATCTTTATCTCACTCTTAATGAAGAGTATCTTTCTTAATTGATCTTACTATTCTCCCCCTCGAAATATGGCATAAACTTTACCGCCATAATTTTGAGAACTATTTAGGAAAACTATGACTGAAAAGACACTTATTACTTACTTCATTCACATGATTATGTCATGCAAACAAAGTTATTTCTTGATCTATATAGTAGTACACTTTTGTCGGGGACCTAATACCGGGGTACCCCAAAGAGGAGGAATCAATGCACCATCGAACGGTAAAAACTCCCGAGAGCGCGGCTGTATCTCTTGCCCGAGCAAACAGGAGTCTTGCTCCGCCTCGCCCGACCCCCGAGGGCTGGGCTCGGCCCCGCCCGACGGTTGGAGGGCAACTCCGCCTCGCCCGACGGCTGGATAACAACTCACCCGACCCCCAAGGGATACACTCCGCCTCGCCCGACCCCCGAGGGCTGGGCTCGGCCCCGCCCGACGGCCGGGGGACACCTCCGCTTCGCCCGATGGTAAGCTAGGTTTTACCTCATCCAACGACCACTGACGGACCTCGTCTTAAACCGATATCCGGAGGCTGGTTCAGCTCACCGACGAAACATACCCCGTGATCCTCATGATGGCGACTGTGGTAAGACAAGACATTCGGGTCAACCACATCATGACAGACGCCATGCCCCGCACCTGCAGCAGAGAGGTACCATCAGGATGTGGCAGAGCCAAGCATCTGACCTCTCCAGGCGTGGCAGAGCCCGAACAGTGTTGCGGGCGCCTGCTATTCATCCTATAGTATTGTAGGCGCCTCCCGCAACCTCCGGACGAAGAACCCGACGTAGACATACGACAACCACTACGTTCCAAGGGCAAACCAACAGTCACCACGCCACCCGACCCCCTCGGGGTCGGGGCTCGCAAATCTGTCCGACACGCGCGCCCATAGGGCAGGATGGGACGCACCCACTTGCTAAACAAATGGCCATGGCACGCCCACGACGATCTCACCATCACCTCACTCCTCTCGACACGGCCCGCCATGATGGATAGGTCAGGCTTGGGGAAGAAGGAAGGCTCGGGTCCCTCAAGGACCTTCTACGCCCTTAGTGCTCTTTTTTCTTTGTCTCGTAAACCCCGCTCCCCCTTGACCTATAAAAAGGAGGGCGGGGGCTCCCCACTAAAGGGGGGGATCGATCGATTCAAGCAGTTAACACACACACACACGCACCACACGGCCAAGCTCCAGCAGAGCTCTTGGCGCCCTTCCAATCACTCCATCAGGACTTGGGGTCTTTTCCTCTCCCAACCGCTTGTACCCCTACTACTTAACCTTATTCGGTGCTAATAACACACGAGCAAAGAACAGATCGGACGTAGGGACATTCGCCCGAACCAAGATAACCCTTGTGTCCTTTAGCGCACCATCCGGCCTAACGCGCATCAATTACAAATTTACTCGCCGGTGTTTGTTGAAACACCGACGGTTGGCAGCGCCGCTGTAGGGGCCTTTATGCTGCTCCAAACCAGGCCGCGGATGGCTAACCACGACATTAGCCGGGTCCCAGCGCACATGCATTTCGGGAGCTCGGATTTTATCATCACGGGAGAGGAGATTTGGCATGGTCGCACGCCGCCATCCAATCTCTTCCTCCAACGGCCATTACCATGAGAGGCTTGGGTGTCACCGACGTCTCCCACGGACCATGGGAGTCCGTGGAGAAGCAACATCGCCTCGCCATCGCCAACGGCGACAAAGATGGCGCGACCTTTCCGTGAGAGACACCTCTCTCCGAACGACACGCACGGAGTGCCCGACGGCGCTTCTGCTCGGTCTCCGCAGAACGCCTGGGCGACCGCGAGCCATCTTCCGCACTACGCATGGTTCTAACGC